AATTATTTAAAAATAATGAATAAATTGTAAAAATTTCTCTTTTCTTTTATTCAATAAATTTTTTTTATTAAAAAATTATTAAAAATTAACAATGAAAGAAAAAGATTAAATTATTATAAATAAATGTGAAATATAAAATTAATTAAAATTTTTTATTTTTAATTTTAATTTTAAAAAGTTGTTTATTTTTATCTCTAATTTTAAAAACAATATTTAGAAGAATAGTTGTTATGATACAATCTCATGTTGAATTATTAAAATAAAATTATAATTTCTTATGTGCATATTTTTTTGTTTAAAATGAATATATTTTACTTTGTATTAAATTATTGTACTAATATTATCTAAATAATTATATAATTAATGCTAAATAATTATATAAAATAAAAATATGTGATATACAATTTTTTGATACACAATTTCCATCAGAGTGATTTTATAATTAATATTACTATTAATTATTCCTATCTTTTAATATATTTTTTAATTGTCATATTTAATATATATTTTAGGTACAGATTACAAATTTAAATAAATATTTAAAGGAATCAATTTAAGGACTAGTAGAAGGAATATTAGAATTCTGCGTACATAACTTACAAGTAGGTACTGCGCGTTGTGAATGGTGTCCAGCAAGAATAGTATGTGCACCCATGCATCTTGTACATAATATTTCTCCACATGACCAACAGTGATGCTGAAGAAGAGAAAGAAAAAGAGAGAAAATATAAATTACTAATTCTAAATAAAATTCTTAAATATATATTTAAATATCTTTCCTATTTAAATATTTAAATACCTTCCTATTAAATGCGTCAAATGTTGTAGAGCATGTACATTCTTCCATATTTCTAAATAACTTCCAGTCTAAGGCAACTGTTTTTAGTTCATTTTGTAATTGATTAATTTTTAACTTACACATTGATCTTTCTTCATGATTTGTATTCTCTATGATAGTTTCAGATAATGGATCTTTCATATATTTATTATCGAATTTTAATTTCGCTTGTATCCCTCTTTTTTGGATATTTAAATTCAATATTGAATTTAAGGAATTGACTCTCTGTTTAACATTGTGATAGTAATATTAGAAATCTAATAAAAAAATAAAAATAACTAACTTTATACCTTCAAAAGAAGTTTAACATGATCTTCCAAACAACTGGTATGATCATGCATTATTAAAAGATAATCTTCGTATGTTTCTCTTGGATGAATACCATTCTCAAATCTGAAGTATAATCCTCGCCATAAACTGAAAATTACTTTTTTATGCAATTTTTAATTTATAGTGTCTAAATATGTAAACATAATAAAATTATATATTACGTGATGCATTGTGGTGCTAGTTTAGGTTGAAGAACAAAACTAGTATCTTCATTGAATCGATTACATTTGTATAAAGGATTTATATATTCATGCATATTATTTGCTATGTATCCCCATAGAGAGTATGTTCTTTCGGATAGTCTAAAAATAATTAAATAAAAATTAAATGATATAATGAATAAATTATTATAAATTATTATTTAAATTATTAAAAATAATACCTTAGAATTTGTCTTTCTTTTTCTGAGTTTGCTATAAAAGTACCATGTTGACAACTATGTACATGATCATGGAGAGTTATTAAGAAAAATTCATTAAATTGAAATTTATGAGGATATTGCAGCAACAATTGATAAGTTGCATCAATAAACTGTGTAAAAATTGGTGCTAATTCTTTATTATCACAGTTAATATGACCACAACGATCACTAAATTTATGTCCAAAAGCTAACCAATCTTTTTCTATCAAAGCCTAGAAATAAAATAAAATATGTATTTCTATTTTTGAGAAATTAATTATATACACCATAAATTTAATTACATTAATTTATATCAATGAATTATATCTTACTTGAAAACCTTGAATTGTCCTATAATATGGATCCAATAATAGAGCACTTAATGAACATACTTGAGCAGTGCGATCCCAACCATCACTGCAATGTACTACCACACTAACTCCATTTGAAACTGCTCTAGCAATAAACCAAGCAGTTTCTAAAATAGATCGTATATGTTTTAACCATCCACTGCTTTCCAAATTATTTAAAAATGTAGTCATTGATGTCATTCTTTGTACTAGATAATAATTAAAAATATCAAAATAATAAAAAATTATAATTCGCATAAAAATTTTGAAATATTTATACATATGCTTACAATCTATTAATTTATTTAAGCTCGTTCTCATTACATGAATGTTTTCAATACCAAAAAAGTGAAATTTTATATTATCATAAAAGTTCTCATTTTCGTATCCTTTTCCCGTAGCTCTATTAGCAAAGGCATTGATCTAAATAGATAAAATAAAAAATTAACTTTTCTTAGAAATTTAAGTTGAAATTGAAGTTATACAACTGAAACAAATTTTACAATAGCTTATTGAAATAATTTTTAATTATAAAAATATTTTAATGGATATTTAACAAACTTACTCGTGGTCGTGTATCTACAACATACATGTATTTAGAATTATTATTTGTACGCAAAATATTGTACATCATTTGTTCATCCTCAGGACATCGTGCACTAAATCCTGATAAAGGTTGGCTACATCGACAAATAACAGCCTATAAAATATATCATTTATTTAATCTGTTAATTTTTTTGTAAAGTTTTCATTTAATATATACCTTATTGGAATGTAAATATGTTAAAACTGGTAATCTTCCTCTACTTCTAAACTTTGCACTACCTATTAAGATGCTATTGGCACATGTACTAGGTACATATAAATATTTTGGATAAGTATCGCAGA